GTGTTTCACTGCACTCCAGCCTGGGTGACGGAGTAAGACTCCAATTAAAAAAAAAATAGCTGGGCGTTGTGGTGTGCACCTGTAGTCTCAGCTACTCTGAGGCTAAAGTAGGAGGATTTCCTGAGCCTGGGAGTTTGAGGCTGTGGTGAACCGTGATTGTGCATTCCAGCCTGGGTGACAGAGTGAGAACCTAACTGAAAATAAAATAAAATAAGATAAAATAAAAACAATAAAATCATTTGGTTACAGCAGAGAGAATGAAGGAAGAATAGTGGGAAAGAAGGTTGGAGAGAGGGGAGCCAGATTATGTAGAGCCTTGTAGGTCATGATAATGATTTTAGATTTTATTCCAGCTATGGTGGGAAGTCATTGATGGATTTTGAAAAGGTAAGTAAATGGTCTCGTATTAGTTTGCTAGGGCAGCCATAACAAAACGTCAGAGACAGGATGGCTTTGTTATGATCTCCCTATGCTCTCTGCCTAGAAAAACCAAAATTGATGCAGTCATATAGGCCCCTGAACTAAGAGGGTAGGAGAAATTACTCAAAACAGCTTCCTTGAAGATTCTGAGGATGGGGTTTAATTTTTTAATTTTATTATTTTTATTTTTTTGAGTTGGAGTCTCACTCTGTCGCCCAGACTGGAGTGCAGTGGCACGCTCCTGGCCACCACAGCCTCGGCTTGCTGGGCTCCGGCGATCTGTCCGCCTCAGCCTTCTGAGTAGCCGGAATTACAGGCATGCGCCACCACGCCTGGCTGATTTTTTTATTTATTGTAGAGATGAGGTCTCGCTGCCCAGGCGGGTCTCGAACCCACGAGCTCAGACAATTCACTCACCTCAGCCTCCCAAAGGTGTGGGATTACAGGCTGAGCCACCGAGCCTGGCTTAATTTTTTATTTATTGTAGATCTGTGGTCTCACCAAGATGCCCCAGTGGGTCTCAAACTCGCAGGCTCAGGCAATCCACTTGCCTCAGCCTCCCAAAGGACTGGGATTACAGGTTGAGCCACTGAACCTGGTCGAGGATGGGGTGTTAAAGGGAACTTGGCTGCCAGAGGGATAGGGGCTGTTGATTGGTTGATGTCATGGAGGGGTGGGTGTCAAGAATTTTCCTGTGACAGAGCCAATTTCTGGGAGAGACATCACAGACCAGTTCAGCCTACTTCCTGATGTTAAGGGCCTGGGTGGGTGTCAGTCCTCAGAGTACAGGGTCTGAAAAATATCTCAAAGGTTGGGAGGAGATGGACACTTTTGTCATTTAACAGCTGATGCTGTCTTCAAGCAGTCTTAGGTCCTTTGTTTAAGAGAGAATATGTTGATTAGCCTTGCCCTTCCTCCAGGAGTCCAGGAGTCCCTATTTTTTATAGGGAATTTCTCCTTAAACAACAGAAATTTACTTTTTCATGGTTTTGAAGACCAGGAGTCCAAGATGAAGGTATCATCAGGTTTTGTTTCTTCTGAGGCCTCTCTTTGGCTTGCAGACAGATAGCTTTCTTCTTAGTATCTCCTCATATAGTCTTTCCCCTGTGTGCATACATGTATGGTGTCCCATTGTATTTCCAAATGTTCTCCTTTTATAGGGACACCACAAGGATTAGGACCCACTCCAAAGGCCTAATTTTAATTTAATCGCCTCTTTAAAGGCCCTGTCTCTAAATGCAGTCACATCCTGGGGTAGGGTGGCAGGGTTTAGTGCTTCAACATTATTAATTCTGGGGAATACAATTCAGCCCATGATAGAACTGATCTTTATACAGTCAGCTGAGGGACTAGAATTGAAGTAAGAATATGGTATGGAAGTAAGGACATAATGGCCAAGTATTGAGGTTGGAATGGAAACAGGTAGTTAGGAGAAGACTACACGTGATGACAGCATAGACTAAGGAAGTACCAGAATTGTGATTTATTTTGAAAGTAGAATGCATACAATTATTTTGAAAGTAGATTTTTTTTCTCATCTATATTTTTGAAAAATTTAGGCTAGTAAGAAAATGCACCTTACAAAGACCATAGATTCATCTTAGACTTTATTTCTGGACTGATTATTCACATTCTTGGAAAACAGCTCTTGGGTTTTAATTTGTCCAACTGCTGTTTGGTTGTGAAGTGAGGGGAAACCAGCTTTTCTTCAAAAATAAATTATTTGGAATAGAACCATGTAACAAAATATAGATTAACAAGAGAAAAACAAATCTAAATTTATTTATTTATTTAATTTATTTTTTAAAATAGGATTTATTGAGAGGACAGAAAAGTTCCCACAGTGGGAGAGGACCCGAGGGAGTTGCTCCAAACCTAGATTTATTACCATGTATGTTTCATATGTACGTAGGCAATACCCAGAGAATGAGTAGATTTTCAAAGAGTTGGCTTTGAATTCCAGTTTATATTGCATCTTAAGGAGAGAACAGTAAATGCTTAGAAAAGTGACAAGACCAAAGAACTTTGAGTCTCTAGGGATGACAACTTGTAGAAAGGCAAGAAAATGACAGACAAAGCCTAGTTAGTTAGTAAAGCTTGTTAGAGTAAATTCCTCTGGTGTCATTTTCGACCCAATACAGGTCTAAAGTTGTATTCAGTGGTTAATTTGTATATTTCTACTGTAAAAGGGGGATGGGCTGGGATAACTTTTATCTTTGTAAATTTATGTCCTGCTTATTTCCTGCATCTGCTTCTTCTTAATAGCCTTCAGTTCAACAGTTCTTAGGCCAAGAGGCATATTTTGGGGTGCATATTATTTTAAGTGGTGAATGACAAATCCAAAATGAATAACCCATCAGCTTAGGAACTAGGATCTACTTCTGTATACTTGGTCAGCCTATCCCTCTGTATCCTTCCATGCTTATCCTCCCACTTCCACAACTGTTCTGAATTTTGTGTTTATTCCTTTGCTTTAAAAAAAGTGTTATCACTTATATGTATATACCTAAACAATATGCTGCTTACCTTTTATTGTATTCTGGGTTATATGAATGGTATGTCTTCTGTGACTTGCTTTTTTTTACATATTATGTTTTTAAGATTAGCTAATTTTGTAGTTTGTTACTAAATTATGTATTTCCTTGCTTTATGATATTCTACTGTGAAAAAAATTTTTATTGTGTGATTATACCACACTTTGTTCACTCTGCTGTCAGTAGACATTTGGGCTGTTTCCAGTTTAATTAATAATTGAGCTTATTGTCCTGAGGCTCTTCCTACTTTTAAAATTTATTGATGTGTAGCCTAGGCTTTCTCCAAACTTTCTTGGGGAAGAACCAGTATCTTATCACATGTACGATGGTCTGTGGTTTTCTCTGCTGTTTTCTCCATTAATCTGATCAAATTTGCATAATGTCTTCTAATAATTTCTAAAATTTGTGATCTTCTAACAGTATCCTTTTCTATTTTCTAACGCTGTCATGATTTTCTTCTCAGGCAAAAACACAACTATCATTTACATGTGATTATTTGATATGGAAGGGAGATAAATCCCTGTCTTCATCTTCCATCTTGGACCACATATTCCTTTCCTCGTCTCTTTCTTTGTATGTTATTCTTCTCAGTTTCTGCTTGGCTAACTCCTTTTTTCTGTCTTCAAGGACTTACTTAAGTATACCTTGTCTCAGAGGCCTTCCCTGACTGTTTCCTTCTTTCATACATTTTGTTGACTTCTGTCATTCTGTATTGTACTGTTTTGATTATCTCATTACTAGACAGTGAGTGCCCAATGGTGAGGAATGTGAGAGGAATGTGATTTTTATTCCTTTTTATCCTTAATGTAGCATGATATCAGATAGATAAAGGGAGCTAAATAAATGTTTATTGAGTAATATGTGAAAGAAATAGTGTAAATGGAAGCAGTCTGTAATAGGCACTAAGGCATCACTTGGCACAGTAGTTTTACTAGGTAAGAATCAGGAGACTGATGTAGTGGCATTTGCCTGTAATATCAACCACTTGGGAGGTGGAGGCAGGAGCACTACTTGAGCCCAGGAGTTTGAGACCAGCCTGGGTAACATAGTGAGACCCCATTAAAAAAAAAAAATCATCTTCCTGCAGGGCTACCAGTCTGTGGAATTTTATTTTCTTAGACATGTAACCATTCTTTAGTTCATAAAAGCAGCTTTGGAGACTGGTATGCCAAATATATTATGGAAAAGGAAATCAAGAAAGTTTGATTTTATGTGATTTTGCTTTTTTAAAGTGTGTGTGTATGAGTCAGTGGTCTCACTCTTTTGCCCAGGCTGGAGTACAGTGGCATGATCACGGCTTACCACAGCCTCAAACTCCTGGACTCAAGTAGTCCTCCTGCCTCCAGCCTCCTGAGTAGCTGGGTCTATAGGTGTGCCCACCACACCTGACTAATTTTTTTGATTTTTTTGTAGAGGCAAGGTTTGGCTATGTTGTCTAGGCTGGTCTCGAACTTTTGGGCTCAAGCAGTTTTCCTGCCTTGGCCTCCCAAAGCGCTGGGTGTGAGCCACCTTGCCTGGTCCAGTTTTGCCTTAATACTGGCATTACTGTATATTAAGGAATACACTTCTCTGAGGCCATATCTTCTGGTGTGGTAGAATGATTAAGCACATATAAAGTGAAAAACAGGGAAGGTCAAGTTGTGGTGGGTTTGTTGTATATCTTTAACTTCTAAATGTGTTTTTTGAATAAAATACAGGAGTGCCAAAAAAAGTATACATTTTAAGTATGACATTTGCAAATGTGTATACATTTTTTGGTCACTCTGTATGTAGTCAAAATTTAAAAATAAAGACAGGATATATTGTAAAGTATCCTTACCTTAATTTCCTTCCAGCTATTCAGAGACTGACTTTTGAGTTCCTTCCTCAGAGCAACCAATTTTATTAACACATAGTGTTAGTTTTGTGTGTGTGTGTGTGTGTGTGTGTGTGTGTGTGTGTGTGTACTTGGATTTTTTTTTTAATTCTGCTAAACTGATTACTTGTGTTGATGTAATGTAAAGAGCAGTTGAATCAAAATGTGTTATTACTGCTTTTTTCTTTCAGATACATCAAATTACACAATGGCTTGCAGGCACTTTTGATTTCAGACCTAAGTAATATGGACGGTAAAACAGGAAATGCAACAGATGATGAAGAGGAAGAGGAGGAGGAGGAGGAAGATGAGGAAGAAGAAGAAAAAGATGATGATGATGAAGATTCTGGAGCTGAAATTGAAGATGATGATGAAGAGGGTTTTGATGATGAAGATGAGTTTGATGATGACGATGAACATGACGATGATGACCTTGATACTGAGGATAATGAGTTGGAAGAATTAGAAGAGAGGGCAGAAGCTAGAAAGAAAACCACCGAAAAACAGGTGTGAGTCATGTCTATTATTTTGTCTTTTACTAATTTAGGGATTCTTTGGGATAGCTTTCAAACTCATGCTTTATTTCTTGACAACAGAAATAAAGTATATGTTTATCTTTTGGTCTTTAGTAAAGGTCTGTTCATTCTGTATAAGGATTACATTTTGAAAACATTTTGCTCTGATTATAAAAGTAGCAAGTGTTCATTATAGAAAATAATGGATTATAAAGAAGGCAAAAATATAAAAATTACACATAACCATATCTTTCAGAGGTAATCAGGACTCAAAGGTATATTAATTTATGTATATTTGTGCACATTATATATTTTAAAAACAAGTACTGGTAGGTGAGGATCTGCAGAATTCTTAGGCTGGGATACAGGAATAAGAGAGTATGTTATGCTTGGTGTGACTAGAAAAAGAAGAGAATGGGATTAGTGTGGAATCTTAACATAGGCCTAGAGTTCTAAGATGTATATGGGTAATTTCTGTCTAGGTCATTGAATTTGATTTAGCTCTTTTTATGGGAAAGCACCAAAGATCTGGACAAATCAATACTTTGGAAGAGCTGAAATAGAAGTGAGGCAGTTGAACTTTGTTTTATTTTTTATTTTTATTTTTTTGAGTTGGAGTCTCACTCTGTCACCCAGACTGGAGTGTAGTGGCCACTTCTGGCCACTGCAGCCTCGACCTGCTAGGCTCCGGCGATCCTTCCGCCTCAGCCTTCCAAGTAGCCGGAATTACAGGCATGCGCTACCACGCCCATCTGATTTTTTGACTTATTGTAGAGATGAGGTCTCGCTGCCCAGGTGGGTCTCAAACTCGCGGGCTCAGGCAATCCACTCACCTCAGCCTCCCAAAGGTGCGGGATTACAGGCTGAGCCACCGAGCCCGGCTCTAGTTTGTTTAATATATAGTAACAGTCAGTGAATAGATAAATAGGGTTTGATAGTGAGAATTTCTCAATCTCTTTTGAAGAATGCCTTCATTTTGTAGTAGGAAGTACCCATATTGGAATATAATATTTTGGAGACATTGCAGTGAAATTGACGAGCAAAAATCTATTAAAGTTAGTTTCTTGAATATTGATATTACATTCAACATGGTACAGTCCACATACAAAGGACTTACAGTTGGATCATAAGACTAAAATTTAGATGTTAAATGAATACTTAAAAGCCATCGTCCCTGAAAGTTATGAAGATGTGAGGTAGAAGTGATAGGTATCATTTAAATAAATCCTTTGATAGTCATTCTTCCTGGAAAAGAATAATTAAAAAAAAAAAAAAGGAAAGATTGTATCAGCTCAGCTTTACTAAGTTTTGGGGGAAATTGAGCCATATTTTAAAGAAGCTTTTTGCCTCTTTCTACTCAGATTATTAGTGATCTTTTTTCTGGGTAACATGTTAGGCCAAATAGTTGTAGCTTCGAAAACTAATGAAAACTATGACACTGAAAAGAAAATTCATATATATGTGCTACTTGGAAGTCTATAAACTAAGTCTTTATGAATAGATTGGGATTTAATACATTCATTTTTAACTTAAAATAGACCTTATAATTCAAATAGAGCAGTAATACACAGGAATAAATTATAAAAGTCACAGAATGGAAGAACACTGACAGTCAGGAAACCTGGGTTCTAAGTCTGACTGTCCCTGTCTTTCTGGATGATTTTAGGACTTTTTTTTTCTCATTTCTAAAACAAGATTGCAGACATTTCTGGTCCATTTTAGCTCTAAGCCTGGCCATGTTAAAACTTTTTTTTCAATGAAGTGTTGCTATGTTGCTTGGGCTGGTCTCAAACTCCTGGCTTAAAACTTCTTAACTGAATATTTCTCATCTATGAGTTTTTTTTCTACATCCTTAAATCTCTAAGTAGCTTTTCCTGGGCTTTGTACTTCCTTATTTCTTGTATTAACTGGTAAAACAATTTAAAACAATTTTTTTTTTAAAGTTTTCTTTTTTTGAGTTGGAGTCTCACTGCCACCCAGGCTGGAGTGCAGTGGCTCACTCATGGCCACCCCAGCGATGACCTGCTGGGGTCCGGCAATTCTTCTGTCTCAGCCTTCCAAATAGTTGAAACTACAGGTGCACGCCACCATGCCTGGATAATTTTTTGATTTATTGTAGAGATGAGCTCTCATGAAGTTGCCCAGGTTGGTCTCGAACCCATGGTCTCAGGCAATCCTCTCACCTCTGCCTCCCAAAGTGCTGGGATTGCAGCCTTGAGCCACTGCACCTGACCTAAAAATTATTTTGGCAGCCATTTTTTATATCAAGACATTATAAAATACCTTAAGAGTATACAGTAATTATAAACACTTTTGAAAAATGAAGATGTACATCCAATCTTTTTGGTACCCCTTTTTATTTTGCTTAGGTAGATCAAATTCTAAAAGTTATATTTTCTTTTCCTTTCTTTTTGTTTTTTTTTGAGTTGAAATCTCACTTTGTCACCCAGGTTGGAGTGCAGTGGCATGCTCACCACCACTGTAGCTTCAGCCTGCTGGGCTCAGGCGATCCTTCTACCTCAGCCCTCCAAGTGGCTGGAACTACAGGTACGCACCCCCAGGTCCGGCTAGTTTTTATTTTTATTTTTTAAATTTTGTTATAGAGATGAGGTCTTGTCAAGTTGCCCAGGCTAGTTTTGAACCCTTGGGCTCAGCCAATCCTCTTACCTCTGCCTCCCAAAGTGCTGGGATTATAGGTATGAGCCACCATACCCAGTCAAGTTTATCTTTTGAGAAGCAGCAGGGTCTTAGTCTTGTATGGCTCAGATGCTACCTTTCTTTTCTGAGACCTCAGTGTGATATAATCCTCCACAAAATATTGACAACTTTCTGGATTAGATGAGAGTGAAACAGAGAGGAACTTAAGTAGTTTGAAAAAGAGATAAATTATTTTGATTTAGAAGCAGTGAGTAAACTTGTGAAAGGAAAGATTCCATGATTGTAACAGTGATAGGTGGTTTTATAATCATTGAATGAGTGTCTGGAAAAGGGAAATAAAGTAGATGAGTCTTGGTAAGAGGTGGCTTAAAAGAATACACAGTTTTGGCTGAATGTGGTGGCTCATGCCTGCAATCTCAGCACTATGGGAGGCTGAGGCAATAGGATTGCTTGAGCTCAGGAGTTTGAGACCAGTCTAGGCAGTGCAGCGAGACCTTGTCTCTACAAAAAATCAAAACATTAGCCAGGCATGGTGGTGTGTGCCTGTAGTCCCAGCTATTTGAAAGGCTAACACAGGAGGACCATTTGAGCTCAAGTGTTTTAGGCTGCGATGAGCTGTGATCATGCCACTGTACTCCAATCTGGGCAACAAAGTGAAACTCTGACTAAAACAAAACAAAACAAAATATTAGCCAGGCATGGTGATGCATATCTATAGTCCCAGCTACTCAGGAATGTTGAGGCTGTCGTGAGCCATGATCATGCCACTGCCCTCTAACTTGGGTGAAGTGGTTTTATGATTTAATTTTTTTTTTTTTTTGAGTTGGAGTCTCACTCTGTCGCCCAGACTGGAGTGCAGTGGCCGCTCCCGGCCACCGCAGCCTCGACCTGCTGGGCTCCAGTGATCCTTCCGCCTCAGCCTTCCAAGTAGCTGGAATTACAGGCATGCGCTACCACACCCGGCTGATTTTTTGATTTATTGTAGAGATGAGGTCTTGCTGCCCAGGCGGGTCTCGAACCCGCGGGCTCAGGCAATCCGCTCACCTCAGCCTCCCAAAGGCGCGGGATTACAGGCTGAGCCACCGAGCCCAGCTATGATTTAATTTTTATTTGAAAAAAGTGAACCTTGTTTAAGGCAAATATGAAAATTTAATAAAGGATGTGGGAAGAAAAATGTTAGTTTTTTGGAGAACATTTACCTAATTAAGAAGGTAGCTACTTATCCCCCTCCATTTTCCTCCTCCCAAAAGAAGTTGTCCTTGATCTGAAAAGTTTGATAAATTAACAAGATTGAAACTTAAGTATGATAAATACTGAATTAAAATTTGTTCAAGACTTTCTTAAGTCAGTTCTCTAGTCTGAATTTCTCAAGTATGAATTTCTTGGGTAGAAAATTCTCAAGTATGAATTTCTTTTCTAGCAATCGCAGAGCCTGTTTTTGCTGTGGTCAAAGCTGACTGATAGACTGTGGTTTAAGTCAACTTATTCAAAAATGTCTTCAACCCTGCTGGTCGAGACAAGAAATCTTTATGGGGTAGTTGGAGCTGAAAGCAGGTTAGGCACCTATTAAAACATCACAGAACAGGTTAGACTGTGGTTTGAAGAACTGGCTATTCCCCCATGTTTTAACTGAGTTTATGTTAAGTCTTCAAAATGGAGTTTGTAGTATCAAGTGATACTGTTTGGTTCTTTGGAAAACAGTTTCATTTTCTGATACATGACAAAACTTTATGCCAGGTACATGCTATTTTTTAAAAACCTTTTAAAGCCAGGCGCAGTGGCTATGCCTGTAATCCTTGCACATTGGGAGGCCGAGGTGAGAGGATTGCTTGAGCCTAGGAGTTCGAGATCAGCCCGGGCAACATAGTGAAACCTCATCTCTACAAAAAAGTCAAAAACTAGCCGGGCGTGGTGGCACATGCCTATAGTCCCAGCTACCTGGTAGCAGAGGCAGACGGATCACCTGCACCTGAGAGAGGCTGAGGCTGTGGTGAACTCTGATTGTGCCACCGCATTCCAGCCTGGGTGACAGAGTGAGAGGCTCACTCAAAAAAAAAGCTCTTTTCTTAGCCTGGTAACCATTTATCAGAATAATCTGTTTATTTCATGAAATGTGTTAACCCGTAAAATTGACCTTTGTAGAATTTTGGAAAGTTAGTAATTCACCTTTCTATGGTTAAGGATTGAAATTGAGTATTTTTTTCTCTTCTTTTGTGTCTTTTAACCTCTGCAATAATACAATGGTATGCCTCAATCATTTTAAGTGTAAAGTTTGTTGGACCTCTTGACTGTCTATTTTGTTACAAACTTTGCTTTTCCCAAGGTATTGGGAGAACATATACTGATAAGTAATTTATAGTATATATCTTCAATATAAAGTGAAGAACTAAAAAGCCTCTTTAAAATTTAGTTCTAAAATTTTTTAATGACTAAAATTTTTATCCTTTTTTAACCATTTACTTATTATCTTTGTTAGATATTTTTCTAAAATGTTAGTTCACCCCTATTTTCATACAGTTAAGCTTTCTGAGTAACATACTGAGAGATTTTACGTCTAGTATCTGAGTTACTGAACATAGAGCCTTTATTGCTTAAAGATCTTTAGAGATAATCTACCTAGACATGTTACTTATACAGATTTCCAAATTCGAATAATTCAGAGAGCAAACTTAGTTCAGAATTTTGAAATGCTGACATGAAATTATATTTGGGTGGGCTGTCCAGTCCCTCTTCCCTTTTTTCTGTCTGTTTCTGCTTTTTTCCTTAGGTCTGTACCTGTTCAGCATTTGGCAGGATGGCATGTGGAGGAGCAGCAGGGTGAAACTGACATATTTCTGGTGAGTTTCACTTTGCTGCTCCTCCTGATTCTCAGGGAAAGAATTTTGTTAGCTTCTATCGGAAAACATCTATCTCCAAATGAATCCTTAAAATGAGACTCTAATATTACTTCTTTAGGATTAACTTAACTATCTGTATGTGTTCTGCTTACTCCAGTCTGCAGCGGCTCTTTGTGTTGGAGTTGGGAGTTTTGCTGATCCAGATGACCTGCCGGGGCTGGCACACTTTTTGGAGCACAGTAAGATCTTGTAAAATATCATTTCCTGGTTTTTTTTTCCTTCAAATTTGTATGAATGGATTTCAAAGATTAGTAATCAGTTTGATAGAAGGTGACATATTTAACAAGAGAAAAGACTAAGAAAAAGTTACTGATTTATGAATATCATGGGGGAGACTTTTAATTTTAATCTCCTTTAGTGTACTTATATTGACAATTACAATGAAGCTATTTTTGTCTGGTCTAACAAACCAGCTGCTATCCCTCTCAGTCAAAGATGAGAGGGAGAAACTGGGAAAACAGGAGATTTAATTTCTACAACTAGGTTTACAGGGAGAGAGGTTGGCATCATTACCAAAAATCCACTCAAAGCAGCACACATTCATTCCAGTACTTATACCCCAAATTCATAACTTTTCACCCACCCTGAGTTCAAAGCCTACGTGCAGTTTCAGTATGACTCAGAATTTTCTGATTATGAAAGTCTCCTGGTCATGTTGACATTTTTTAGATAACACTCTGGAATTTAGAAGGAAGGGAAAGTCACAACATTTAAATTGATAGCTTTAAATTGTTTTAAAACACAATTGTAACAATCCCATTTTCAGACCCTTGGCCTATGACAGTCTGATGCCCTTGTACTCACAGATGGAGGGGAAGTGGGCAATGCCCACACCAGGCTTTCAGACATACTTATGCTGGTCTTGGACTGTTTTCCATGTCTTCTAACTATATCAGGTGGTCTGGATGTTTCTTCTCCAGCACTAGCAATGACTTACTAGATAAGATTGGCCTTCTAGACTAGTCAGAAGGGTTGGGTCAAGGGAGAAGGGGAAGTTGTCACATTCCGAGGGCAGTATAGGGAAAGCAGAAATGTGCACTTTTAAATTCAAGTGGCTTCTATATTAAGACAACTCAGCTACAGAAGAAAGTTTCTGGGGTTTTTTTTGTTTGTTTGTTTTTTTGAGTTGGAGCCTCACTCTGTTGCCCAGGCTGGAGTGCAGTTGCACACTCACGGCCACCCCATTGTCGACCTCCTGAGCTCCAGCGATCCTTCTCCCTCAGCCTTCCAAGTAGCCGGAACTACAGGGGTGCACTACCATGCCCAGCTAATTATTTTATTTATTGTATAGACGAAGTCTCACCACATTGCTCAGGCTGGTCTTGAACTCACAGGCTCAGGCAATCCACTTGCCTTGGCCTCCCAAAATGCTGGGATTACAGACTGAGCCACCGAGCCCAGTCAAAAGAGAGTTTCTTAATACAACTTTCTAAGTCTTTTCTAAATAGTAAAATGACTTAATTTTCAACTTATAACAAAGCCACTTAGAAAACTACTTTAAATTTAGGTGTTACTATTATTACTATTATTGAGGTGTTACTACTATAGTAAAGCCAACCAATTAGGAGATGATTGGCATTTTCTAGGATTTGGCTAGCCCTGGGAGAGACAGTCTCTTCCAGGATTTGCAAGGCCCTACAATGTCAAAGCATCAGAAATACAGAAATTAAAAAGACAATATAAACACAAAGCAAAATAGGAACCTTCACTTTAATTATGAATATGCCTAAATAAAACATATGCAGATGCTATACAGTTACAAATATTTAAATCCATATCTGTTTTTCTAAATTACTCATTTTTTATATTCTTGTTTTCTAAGCTATTTGAGGGTAAACATAACACTTTATGAATTTTTATAGTTGCAGTTAATCTGCATATATGTTTGTGCTTACATTTTAACCTCTGTATAAATAAATTATGTATTTGCCTTATCTTTAAGAATGAAATATTTGGGTTTTTTTTTTTAGCATAAAAGTAACATGAGTGTAATAGAAAGTTACAAAAACAGAAGGAAGGAAGGATTATTCAGACATAACTATTTAATATGTTGTTTTTTTCTTTTAGTTTTTCTATGCATGTAAGAAAGTTCATCCTTGAGAATAAAAATATTGTCTATATCTTTGTGTTGTATGACTTTGTGTTCTTTTAATTTAGTGGTATTCATGGGTAGTTTGAAATACCCAGATGAGAATGGATTTGATGCCTTCCTGAAGAAGCATGGGGGTAGCGATAATGCCTCAACTGACTGTGAACGTACAGTCTTTCAGTTTGATGTCCAGAGAAAGTACTTCAAGGAAGCCCTTGATAGGTAATTAGCTCAAGTGTATTTTTATTTTTATTATGAATAACACCTTACATCTTTCCACCTTACAAGTAGAAATATTGGCATGTTCTATGGTATTTCTTTTTAAGAAGTATTCTAGTTCTATAGAATTGTCACAGTATATTATTTGAAGAAAAGAGCTATTAAATTATTAAATACACTTCGACTCTTCTTCTGTGATATATAGTCTTTGTATTAAAGGTTAAACTGAAACTCTTAAACACATTTTGAGTTTTATTAATAAGGTGTTCTCTATTGACTCATTCTAATTTTTTTTTTTTTTTGAGTTGGAGTCTCACTCTGTTGCCCAGACTGGAGGGCAGTGGCACATTCACGGCCATCCCAGTGTCAACCTGCTGGGCTCTGATGATCCTTCTGCCTCAGTGTTCCAAGTAGCTAGAACTATAGGTGTGTGCTGCCACACCCGGCTAATTTTTTAATTTATTGTAGAGATGAGGTCTCGCCAAGTTGCCCAGGTGGGTCTCGAACCTGCGGGCTCAGGCAATCCACTCACCTCGGCATA